AACATGTTTTTACACTCTTTGTAATATATATGATGGATGACTATATACTATGAAGATGATTTAAGATATATGTATTTATGCTAGAAAGATTATATTCAATGCTTTTGTGCGTATCTAGTGGTCAATATTCTACCTACGGGTGATGATATTGAGATATGGCTACGGTAGGGTGTGGGTTGGATACTCTACGGCCAGGTGTGGGATGGATGTTGATTTATGGCTATGGCCAAGTTTGGGATGGTTATTGATATATGGCTACGGCCAGCTGTGGGTTGGATACTGGGATATGGCTACGGTCGGGCATGGGTTGGTGGCTTCAGCCTTAAGTTACTGTTATATGATACCACTAGTATGCACACTATATATGATATATGCTTTATGAAAGGTTTTATGGCATGCTAGGGTTTTCGGAAAAACCTATTATATATTATGCTATTGATGTTTTCATAAAACTTTGGGGGTTAGTACGATATTGAATAACTATTCCAGTATTATATATATATATATGTATATATATATATATATATATATATATATATATATATATTAACTTGGTCCCCTCATGTTTGTTTTGTGCCCCCTTAGGACATAGGAACGAGGCATACGATCCGAGCTACGAGGCATTCCCCTACCAGTGACATCGTGTCATCCTTTTTGCTTTGACATCATTGTAATAGCACATTCCGCTTGTATTCTGAATTAGATGTATGTTCTGAACATGTCATGCATTATCACTATGTTTTCATTGTTGGTAGTTGAATATTATTATATTATTAGTTTGTATTTAATTATTACATTGTGTAGTTATGAGTGAAATTTATATGCATGTTTCACATGTTCTCAGCACATGCATTCATTAAATGGTTTTCGTCATCCTCGGGTGTCAGCTAGCATGTGACCATCCTGATGTCCCTCAGATATCGGGATCAGGGCGTGTCATAAAGTGTTTAGGGTTTTTTAGGGTAACAAAAGCTTCCGAAATTTGGTAAAATATGGGGTATATATGGGGGAGAGGGCCAATCATAGTGTTAGGGTTTTACCCTACATATGGCGGCATCCTATTGGCCAATGTTTATGGAGAAACATTCTCAAGATATTAAATAGGAAATAATATCTTGAGATAATGGAGTAATTATCCCTAATTGATTTAAATTGGGATTACTTACTTGATTGAAGTCAATCTTCAATTGGGAATGTATTAAAGATAGGATTTGGGTAATTAATCTTTGTCTTTAATGCTTTGATTTTTCCTTGCCAATGGCAGGTGAACTGTGGGCAGTCGTATTCAGCTGCTGAGACCTTCAGGAGTGTGAGTTGCGTGTGGGAGTATCTGAGGAGCCTGCCCATTTATTGAGGGCAATCTTGTCTTTCTTGAGCAAAAGTCCACGTGTCGCCTCTAGAATTTTTGGGATTATTTTAGACTCTACACGAGATATCGTGATTCATCGTATTTATGAAATATTGATGTTACGGTGTAACATCCCACATCGCCCAGGGGAGTGATCCTTAACTGCATATTCCTATCTCTACCTAGCACGAGGCCTTTTGGGAGCTCACTGGTTTCGGGTTCCGTAGGAACTTCGAAGTTAAGCGAGAAGGAGGCCAGAGCACTCTCAGGATGGGTGACCCACTAGGAAGTTGCTCGTGAGTTCCTAAAAACAAAACCGTGAGGGAATGGTAAGCCCAAAGTGGACAATATCGTGTTACGATGATAGAATGGGCCCGGGATGTGGAGGACCCGGGCCGGGATGTGACATACGGTAAGTGCCTTCATACTATATGTAGTATATATAATTGAAAACTATACTTATTTTACAGCGAGGGGTTATTATGTTTTCGAAAAGGTTTTTACAAGGCTTTATTTTTAGGCCCACTCACCCTTATTTTTCGCCCCTCCAGGTTTTAAGAATACAATTAAAATTTATGTATTCTTCAAGTCTTTATAAAATATTATTGAACAAATAAAAAATAACTATTTTAAATTAATTAATTTTGTATTTAAATGACTAAATGTCACATCCCAGCCTGAGGCGGACCACTTCCCGGACCCGTTCCATCACTGTAGCACGATATTGTCCGCTTTGGGCCCCGACCACGCCCTCATGGTTTTGTTTCTGGGAACTCACGAGCAACTTCCCAGTGGGTCACCCATCATGGGATTGCTCTCACGCGTTACTCGCTTAACTTCGGAGTTCCGATGAAGTCGAAGTCAGTGAGCTCCCAAAAGGCCTCGTGCTAGGTAGGGATGGGAATATACATTTAAGGATCACTCCCCTGTACGATGTGGGATGTTACACTAAATTTTTCAAAGTATTTTCTTAATAAAGTTGTTGAATAATACACTACTGTTGTAGTCTTAATTAGGTTAGGAATGTGATTGTATAAATCCTATTAATATTCCATGATATATTTTAGATAGTGTCCTAATTTAGTTGTAATACGTAAAAGGTAAGGAATTTACCAAAGCGTAAGGAATTTACTTTCCCACTACTACAAATAAAGGCATTGTCCTCAGAATTCACCAAATTCTCTCTACTTCATGCTGCACCTCTCTCTCCCTTACTCCCCAATTCTCTCTACTTCATGTTGCACCTCTCTCTCCCTTGTTGTATAATGTCCAGTTATAAGCACCTCTCTCTCCCTTGCTCTATAATGTCCAGTTAAACAAGCTTATAACACGTACATATTTTCACGTACTATACCCATTACATATTTTGCGAATGTCCAGTTACACAAGCTTATAACACGTACATATTTTCACGTACTATACCCATTACATATTTTGCGAAGTATGATAAGAGTTGATTTATGTAATACGGAAAGGAGAAAAAAGGGTGGTTAACCGAAAGTGAGAAAAAGAATGGTCAAGTATAATGCAATGAGTATGGAGAATATGACACAATATTAACCTTCATATGCATTTAATAGTCAAGATTAAAATTCAAAGAATTCCTAAAAATTTATCAAAACCAATGATAGAAGACTCACAAACTCTATTAAAATTCACTTGAAACTCATATGAAATTTATAAAAATCAATTAAACTCCTTCAAACTTCAAAGATATATAAATCAATGAAATTCTTTTAAATCTCAATTGAATAACCTTCTTAAAAAACAATACTAATATGCAATTATTTAATGACATAAATCATAAAACTGTCAAAACAATTTTATATAACTTTAAATTTGAAACCAACGGAAAAGATTTTAAAAATCTTTTAAATGTTAACTGAAAAGTTTAAGCGTCACTTAATATTATGGTCTGATGGTATTCCTCTTCACTTGAAAGTGAGAGGTCTTAGGTTCGAATCTCGTAGATGGCGAATTTGATACCAAATTAGACTACCCATTGTATAGCTTTGTCAAACTCCCCCTCCCTTTAGTATAAAAATATCGATATACTCACAAAAAAAAATTGAAAAAGTTTAAGCAGTATTAGGAGAGAAGTCGTAGTTCCCGTGGTTTTACAATACTTTTAATGTTATCCTTATGATGAAAAAGTTGTTAACTAAATTCTTGTAGTGAGTTTTGTTAGCAATTAAGGTCCAAATCTAACCTTCCATTAGTCTCCCGTTAAATAAAACTATGTGAGTCTCATATACCATATGGAGAGACTAACTTCATCTTTTTCAAACCAAAAACATCTGTTGTCAGATACTAGGGTTGAGAACTAATAGGCACATACAGGCAGGAAATGTTTAAGCTTTGAAAAAGAAAGAAGTAATAGCTCCAGGTCCAACACCAAAACTAAAAGCCAGACAAGGGAATCAAACTTGAAGGTTGCGCATAGTTTAATTGCATGTATATATAACAAGGGGTTGGTGGAGTAAACGACGCAACCATTAATTGGAGTTGGAGGCAGTAGTTGCTTGATTCTGTTGCAGCGAGATCCATTCGCCAGTTGATGGAGGAGAAGAAAGAGGTCCTCATTCATATTTCCGCAGGATCCATAGCCAACCAGCCTCACCCTTCAACGTCGTTCAAGTTTTAAACCTATTTTTCTTCAGGTCAATTCCAATTTCTGTTGAAGCCTAGTATCTAACGACATATGTTTCTGGTTTCTTGATTCGGTTTGAAAAGAAGAATTTAGAGACATTATACCTATACTAAAACCCAAACCAGCGTTTACTGTTCACGGACAGTGAGCGGACTAAAATGCCCCTCAATTTGTTTGTTAAGTCAAATTTTTGCCATCTTTTCCACAGTGAAAGGACTGCCTTGCCCTCGAAGGCCGCGTGTTGATACTTTCCTGCTTCCCTTTTTTTTTTTCTATATTGTTGTAGCTATCTACTAAAGCAGTTCCCGCTCACTGTTCATCATGTGAGAGGGCTATTGTTCATCCTGTGTATCTTCTTTTAAATTCTGACTCCCTCTTCAATTCCGGCGTTTTTTCCTTACCTAATCCACACCTGGCAGCAAATGGTACCTGCCTTTCCATCAAAAAATAATTAAAAAACCATAACTGATCCACATCTGGCAGCAGTGATGCATGCCTTTCCACCAAAAATAATTAAAAAACCAAAAATCTGGAACATGCGGATAAAAATGGATAGAAAAGGGGAAAAAGGAAGAGAGAGAAACAAAAGCTGAGCATGGATTGTGAGACCATCTCAAGGGCTAAAAGTCAAATTACCCCCCAAATTACCCTCCCAAACACTCTTCAACCTATGCTAAAATTTTAGGCTAAATGCCAAATGCTATTTCTGGGCCAAATACCCCCCAGCTTTCCCCCGGGCTAAATGCGAAATGTTTATCGGAATTTAAATTTTTTTAGATTAAATGTTCATAAAATTAATTTACAATAATCTACATATTTATTTATTTTTTTAAATTGATTTAAGAAAAAAATTTAGGCTAATTTCATTCTTTAATAATTCCGGGCTAAAATTTTAGGGTAGAAGGGTTAAAGCAGAAAAGATGTTTCTGGGCTAAAAGCTAAATTTTTCGGGCTAAAAAATTTGGCTTTTAGCCCAAGGTTGGAGATGGTATGAGAAAGGGTGTCTATCATCAGAAAAAAATAATTAAAAAACACAACATCATGGCATCTGGAACAGTTCCCCACCACTGTTCATCACGTCTTTCCTTTCTTCCGCACATCGTTCCTCGCAATTCCTCTAATTTTTGCCCACGCGTTCATCGCTCTGCACACCTCCTCTTCAATCATCCTGTCCACGCGTCGATCATCGTCGAAGGGCTCTGCTTCGACTCCTTCTCGACTTTTCCTCTGACTCTCCTTCACTTTGCGGTCTTCTCTCATCTCTCACTCTTTCGCATGCTTTCTTTCTCTACCCAAGAAGCCTTCCATCCATTTCGATCTCTCCCACAAACCCTTATGTTGCTAAAGCTTGCCTTCCCTCGCTCTCCGATCTCGATTTCTCTCTCACTTTCCTGCTGAAAAAGACCAACCCAGTAGAAATTTCTCCAGTTCTCTCTCTCTCAAAAACTACAAATCACAGCGGCCAAACTCCAAAAAAAAAAAATAAATAAATGGAATTCGAAAAGCCATTTGCTTTTCCTTGGATTTGGGTTTTCCTTCGATTTCTACACTGTCCAAAACTCGCGTCGTGGATCAAGCTAGGGTTTTCTCTGAGCCGCGATTGTTGCTCTGTCCTCCGCCGTCTGTCACTGTAAGTCCTTTTTTTTTCCCAGAATTTTCAATGCATCGTTTTCTCTTCGTGTCTAACTTTTGTGTGTCTCTGTTATAAAATGTTGACGCCGAATCTTTGTTGCTGAAAAATTGCGGCTGCAAGTTTTTTCAGATTTTCCAATTTCGTTGCCAAAAAAAAAAAAAAAAAAACTCCGACGACCAGCGTTTTGTGGTGAGTTTTCCAGTTTTGTCTATGCTCTTTTTTCTAATTTTGGATTTGCAAATGAGTATTCTTTTTTCTTTGTTCCTTCGTGACTTGCATGCTGCTATATAATTTGGTTCTGTTTTTGTTTGTTCTCAGAGTTTGGTGTGTGGGAATCTGTTAGTGCTTCATTTTTGCTCTGTACCAATAATTGTTTTCTTCTTTCTTATGGTTGTGAATATATATATATGTGAACATATAATACCTTCGTTTGGAGTGAATTGAAAAGCTTACTACGATAAAATTATATTTTGTGGCACTTGAATATTAGCCCATGGTATAATCAGTTTCTACTCAAAGTCTAGAAATCAAAGGACCCAAATTTGCCAGAAAACGAGTAGAGGTTGGTTGTCCTGCAATCTAACCTCAATCTAACCTCAATCTAACCTCAATAATTATGGTTTTAACTTTATAAATTCTGGATTTTTTTAGTTAATTGTTTGGACTTTGAATTGGCAGATGAGGTTATATTAAGTTTTGAACTTTGATTTTTGTTTTGTGTGATTGCAGAGCAAGGAGAATGACCCCAGTTAGCTCCAACCTTACGGTAAACTTTTCTTTTTGTTTAGAGTTATGAGAATTCTTATAGAAAAAAATTAGAAAAACTCAAATTATAATTTTTGGTTTAAATATGTTTTTAATTTGGTCCACCATGTTATGTTTGTTAACCTATAAGAGTCAAATTCAGTTTCGAACTCTTACTAAAAATGGAACTTGGTGCCTCCTCAGCCTTCAAATTTTAAGTAACCCCATGTTTTTTACATTACTGCGTTCGTTTTCTCTACTAATTATTGTTATATGAATTGTATTCTTCTATTAAAAATGATTAATTAGACTGTCCAAAAAAATAAAAAATAAAAAACCTCAGGCATTGCAGGTTTGGGATGATAGTTTAAAATCAATATGCTCATTAGCCAGTCTGAGAACCTAATTTGGGAAGTGGGTTTTAAAGTTTCAATAGTTTCGTTATGTGTAATTTTCTTGCTTTGCCTACTAAGAATCTAATAACCAAATGCTTAGTTATTTTCTCCAAATGGTTTTTGATTTGTTGTAGGTAAACGAGAGCTACTCTACTGTTTACGCAGCAGGGAAAGGGAAGGGAAGTAAAAATTATAAGGAAATGCATATAAGTTACAAGCTTTTAATTAAAAATAGAAATGGAGTGACAACAAACAAAATATAGGTAAAACTGACCACTACATTCTTTCCATTTAAATATAAATCAATTGATTAAGTTTGTGTCTATACAAGTTTAAAATGAAGTTATGTGTCGATTTTAAAAGAACTATGCATGCTGGATTTTTATAGAAGTGTCATGAAAGTTTTATACCAAACTTTTTACAGGGATTAAGTTCATTTAAGTATGGGTTGTTTTGTATTTGAAATCTGAAAGGAGAAACAGAAATTACAAGAAGAAGAGGAAGATTGCGTTCCGATCATGGCCTTCTCTTCCTGCCATTTATCCAAATCCTGACAAGTTAGTTACTCAACCTTCACCTCATCCATCTCCTTTTTTTTTTCCTTTTTTTTATATTGTTTGGCTTCTGAGATTTGAGAAAATTAGGACATTTAAAGATTTTGATTTCATTTTAAATTTTCTTAAATTTATTGATTATTAGATGACATAGTTTGTGATAAACTGTAATTGATTTGAGTGATTATTATTAATTTTATTTTTTCATGGTTAGAGCGGCATCGCGATGAAATGGGTATGAATTAACATATTTTGTGCGTTTGAATCCTCAATGAAGTTGTTTACTACAGTAATTGTGTTTGTTTGATAATAGGGATCTTATTGAAAAGCAAGGAAGAAGAATTGAATTAGATTATTGCGGGGCTCAGGAAAAACTATGCTTCTTTACAAGAGAAATTTACGAAATAAGAGTTGGATAAGATGGTAAGTAGATGGGTTTGATATTCAATGTGGCTGGCTCCATGTGCAATTGTTCTTGCTATTTAGGCAATTTCCTGGAACATTGAGTAGAAAAACAAATTAGAATTTTGTTGGTTTTTTCTTTTATGAAGTGTAAGCGTTAATGCATTTCATCCTAATATGCAACTTATATTAGTATCGCATTTTGAAAGGTTAGCATCTCAAGTGAACCAAATTTACCATTTTCCATTTAAATGAATTTTAAGATAACCTCCGGTCCATGTTTGTTTAACAATTTTTTATAATTCATTATATAGTTTTCAAAAAGGTCGTGCATAATTCTTGCTGAACTTGGTTTGGGTTTCTTTTGTTTACGGATGGAGTGAGTTAATCACAGTTCTATCCGGTTAGTCATGTTCCCATTGTTGCATGACTTTTTGAACAGAAAACAAGGTTTATTATTTCAATTTCCACATCTACTTTTGATTTGGTAGATGTTGATTAATCTCATCTGTACCTGTTAATATTTTGTGGTATATATGATTTATTTGACTTCCCAATTCTATATAATTAGTACCACTGAAATACATTTGGCATACGTTAATTCTGCCTTTCTACAATTTCTCATTGCTGCTTAAGTGGAACAAAATTAACTCAAACATTGCTTACGAAGAGAAAGAAGTTGCATAATCTTTCATGAAATTTTCAATCCCGCAACAACGCGCGGGCACAAATATCTAGTATTTATCTAGAAGGGCAAATTTTGTCACTAAAAAGTATTTAAACTAATAGGTGAAAAATATATTAGCCTAATTGTTTTTTTATACAACGATTTATATACATGAAGAGGGAGGAGGAATAAATTGGTTGTGTACTCGTTACTTGTAAGATTCAAACATAAGATTTTTCATTTTCAAGTGAAGAGGAATACATGTGGAAACTACTATTAAGCAATTATGCTCTCATAAGGTCCTCATTTTTGCGAAATGCATATTAACCACAAGATTATATTAGTTTATATCCAAATACATAAAATATTTGGCAACTTAATAAAGCAAAACCAACTTAAAATCCACGAACCATTCGAAAACTTAGTTTCTTGTTTTGCTTTATTAAGTTGCCAAATATTTTAAGCCTTTGGATATAAACTAATATGATCTTGTAGTTAATATGTATTTAATCCTCATAGGTTCTCAAATAAGGACTTACGAGCGCATGACTATACCATTAAGTGGAAAATTTCCCTAATTGTTAAGAAAAATATAACTCGTAGGGATGGCAATTCAAACCGTTAACCCCGATAACCGTGGATAACCAATCAAATGGAGTGGATTTGGGTATGAAAATTTAGGTATATTATGGATATGGGGAAAAACCATGAACTTTAATCGGTTATGATTTTGGATATGGTTATAGGGGTCTCCAATCCATATCCGTTCCCAAATTCGAACCGAATAATATATATAATATATAATATAATAGTATTATGTAATATATATATATATATATATTTGAGTGACGCTATACCATTATTACCATATTCATTATTCACCGCATAATATATTTAGTACATAATAAATAGTATTCATCAAACCCTATACTATATTCCTTATGCATCAAACCCTATATTATGTTCATTATGCACTAAACATAATGCTTATGGGAGATATCAACGGCTCACATGATCAATGTTTTATTCAATACTCTTATTTTTTTAATTCATTGTTATGTTTTTTTATTATTAGACCTGGTTATTTAATGATGAAATTAGTATCTACTAAATTATTGTGCGCCAATTGGATGAATATAATTTTTTTTTTTTGACGAAGATGGATATAACAGTTAACTGATGAGAAATCCGTTATCCGGTGGGTATGGTTATGAATAATCTCCAATGATTAATTTGCAATTATGGATATAGTTAATTTTCGTGGTTATAGGGATGAATATAGCATTTCCGTCCTCAAACCGAACCGTTGCCATCCCTACTCGTTTTCCAAAAAATAAATTAAAAAAAACAAATTATATCTTGGTATTACTCATTAAATAAGTTATTTTCTAGTATTAAGACTACAACATATCTACTCAAATGGATGTAGGACTTGGGTCACAATAGACCAACTATACTAATATGGTCATTTTCATTGAAGGTGGAACCTAAAACCTCACTTACAAGTGAAAGAGAGTAATGAATACTATTGGACTATAGACTAAAGGCGTGTTTGTTTGCCCTCATTAAGGTTCATTGGACTAGATTGGCTTAGCTAAGCGTACTAATCCGTGTTTGGTGAGAGCACGGACTAACTTAAATGAGATTATGTCGAACTTGCCCCAACTAAGGGCTTTGCTAAGTCGTCTTAGGCAGACACCCCCAAAAAGCATGGGATTACTAATCTCATCTCCAACGTTTGCATATGTCATGCCTAGATCTAGAGATACGTTCAAGATCGACATGTGACGACACCACATACATGTCCATCTTTCATGCCTCAGCTCCGGGACATGACCAAAACACAGTCAATGGTTTAACAACGCATTAACTTTCCTTTTCATATCATGGCTACATCTAACCTCTGTGTTAGACTACCTATGTACCCCAAGACGGGATCAAGCCATTCGTAGTTCACAGCTCATTAGACTCCCACATTTATCATAATATGTTATAGCAGAAAATCATAGATTTCTAGAATCACTCAATGGAACTCAATTTAACTTCCAGACTACCTAAAGCAATTATTTCACTATTAGGATGTCATTTCGCCATCCTAATACATCACAGTGTTTTCCAACATTATTCCCCTATTACATCAACTTAATGAGTTTAATGACTCAAAGATGAATAATATAACTACGTTAATCAATCAACCACATCAAGTATTAATTCACAAAATTTAATAAAGTCAATCACCTTATTTCATTACTTGAATCCCAAGCAATGTTGTAGTCCTTAATTTACCAACAAAAATGTTTACTATGAGCAATTTCTATTCACACTAATCTAGGGTTTCACACGATCTCAATATAATCGACCAAGAGCTAGGATTCTAGACCACTCAATAGAATCCAACTTGAGACGGTCGCCCATCGGGGGATTTATCAATCACTCCATACACACTTAAGTAGTCAGTGATCACCTATCATGGATATACCAAACACGATCACCCCTAAATACATATAGTCCTTTATCGTGGATATATCAAGTAGGATCGTAGCCTATAACACTAGGTAGTGATCACCCATCGTGTAACAAACATGATCACTCCTAGTATGCTTATGGTCCTCTATCGCAAATATACAAACCAGAAGCATAGGCATAGTCTAATAGTGTAGGCAGTGATCATATGTCGCAGATATACCAAGCAGGACAAAAACCTATAACACTAGGTAGTGATCACTCATCATAGATATACCAAGTATGATCACTCATAGTATGCGTATGGTCACACGTCGCGGATATACTAACCAGAACCATATGCATAGTCTAATAGCTTAGGCAGTGATCACTCATCGCAGATATACCAAGCATAATCAGTCCTAGCATGTGCATGGTCCACCATTGTGGATATACCAAGCAGAACCATATGCACAGTCTAATAGCGTAAATAATGATCACCCATCGAGGATATACCAAGCATGATCAGCCTTGAAATGCGTATGGTCCCATCGCAGATATACCAAGTAGGACCATCCATGTACCACTACTACATGATGTAGTCACATTATCACACATAATGTATCAATTCAACATGAAATTATACACAAGATCAATTACACAAGATAGACGAATATCTAAACACATATACATATAGAATATGGTTCTAGGCTTTCATACTAGCAATCACATCGATCATTCATACTAGCAATCACATCGATCAATCATATCACCTAGGAGTTTAATAATCATATACTTCTAGGTTTCATATGCCTCTTAGGACACAAAATCCACTGTCGGTCAAAGGTCAACGGTATGGTAAACAACCCTACGTAATTTGAACCAAAAAATTCGACTACCAGATTTATGATCTATAACTTCTTAAGACTTTTATTATGGTTGTAGAACAACATATTAAAATTTTGTGATGGTCGAATCTTTGCCAATTGCAAATTTAAGTGGCGGACTATCATGAAAATGTATTTAAATAAACAAGTTTGAAGAAATGGTGTAACGACTCGTCCCTAAAAATTATGATTTTTATAATTTTAAAATAAGAAGTTACAAAAATGCCCTTCAAGGTAAAGACGATGACTTTTATTGACCGCCTTGTCGTGTCACGTAAGAATCACGTTCTTGATGTATCTGGATAGTACTCATCCTTACGAATGCATGGAAGCGAATGAAACGTAAATTGGAGTTATAACGAATGAGTTATTAACCAACGAAGTTAAGGACAAAATTGTCAATTGATTATTTTCTGGAATGCTCCAAATTTTTGGAGCAAAATTTGGAAAGCCACGTGTGTGGCCGAGATTAAAAGGGAAGAAAAGATGGGTGGTGAAGATGAAAGATAAAAGGGATGAATGAGGATGGACGCTGCCCAATCAGGAAAGAAGAGAAGAGAGACTGACCAATTAGAAGGAAGAGAAGGGAGAGAAAGGAGGGAAGGAAATTATGAAGTTCGAAGCCATTGGCTTCGACGGCAACTCGTGAGTCTTTAGGCGGTGATCTGCCATTTCTGAATGCAATCTCATCGATCCCCACCATCAAACAACTCCCCTTAAGCTTAGGAATAATGCCCAATCATTGTTTGAGGCGTCAGAGCAAGTATGGAGGACGAATCAAAGCACACCCTTTATGGGGGTTCCGGCGGGTTTTAGTGAAATTGGGGCTTTTCCCGACCAAATTGGCCTTAGTCACATGTATAAAAGTTCCTCCACTCATTGAGATATTCATTCCTGTAAAATTTGAGAATTTTTGGAGTTGTTCAATTTTCCAGCGAGTAAGGGCGGCCGACCGCCACGAGCGGCGGCCCGTGGGGGAAAATCCCAAGGTCCCTCCTTAGGTTCCTCGACGTGCTGAATCTGAATCCGCCATCCGTCTTCCAAAATTACAACATTTTAGTAAAGTTTTGCAAAAAGGTCCTTAATTATGTTTAGGCGCGTTGATGGGAAGCGAGGTTATCTTCGGTAGTTCGAGCGGCTTCTGAGGCAATGGAAAACTTGTGAGTGGACCCCTTCATAACTTATATATATTTTTTATAAAATATTAGCCTAGCATGCATTACATATTCATGATTATGTTTTATATATTATTTTAAGAGCTTCTATATTTATGGTTTGCAAAATAATTATGATTATTGAAACTATATATTTCTAAAGATACGAAATATTGGGTCTTTGCTTATGAAATGCCATAGATTTATGGTTGTAAATTAAGTGGATTTATGGATATGATTTATATAACGGTTCCCGAATATAAGTTATGAATTATGGGACTTTCATATATGGAATTCCATGGATTTACAAATGTAAATTATTATGATTTTATGATGCTTTGATGCTTTGAGC